GCCCGGGCCCGGGCCCGCCAGTGCAGACCAGTCGGACCGGAGGAAATCTTTCCTGCCCAGTGGGGCTGGGGCAAGGCCGCCGCCACCTGCACGCAGCGCCCTGGTGGCAGGAAAGCCCCGACGTGGGTCCCGGCAGGAGGGCAGTTCCCTTCCCGCGGAGCCTGGGGCGGCCGCATCCCTGCTCTGCCCTGCACCCTGGGCCCCGCCCGGCTCGCGACCCCTTCCTCTTGTCCCAGCCGCTCTGCACTGCAGGGTTCTCACCTTTGCCATTATCCCCCCTCCTCTTCCTTCTTAACCTGGGGTTTCCTCGCTTCTGCCCCTGTACCTTCTCACTGACCTCCTGTCACACGTTCAGCTTCTTTCCTTCCTTGGAGATCTCCCAACAGCAGCGACTCCCTGTGCCCAAAGACGTGTGCTTGTGCCCGAAAGCTTGCAGAGAGCTCTTTTTCCCAGCTACTCAGTTGATGGTGTAATAAAAGATAACACATCACCCAAAAAAGCTTGCCCGCCAGCTCCTCTAGTCTCCCTTCCTCTCCTGTCTGGCTGCGAGCATTGCTTCGTTCTCCTACTGCTGAGCACAGCCCCGCACTGAGTGTGCGTCCCCTGCCCTGGGCTGCAGCCCTCGGCCCGTGATGTCCCAGCAACTGGTGTGTGGCAGCCCCATCGGCTCTTGTGCCCCCCGGCGCTGTGGGCATTGCTGCTCCCAGCTCACTCGCGACCAGTGGCTGCCCAACCCCTGCGTGGGCACCTCCAGTGCTGGAGCAGCCGCAGCCTCCCTGGGCACCTGTTCCCCCGCTCTGACTAGAAAGAAGTTTTATCTGAGATCCAGTCTAAATTTACTTTGCTGCAATTTCAAGCCAAGAGAGAAGCTGCTTTCCCTCTCCTGTGAGGCAGCTCTTCAGGTGTTTGCAGGCTGCTCTCATGTCCCCTCTGAAGCAGCTTTTATGCAAGCTGAACATGCCCAGCTCCTTCAGCCTCTCTTAGGACTTGCCTTCCAAGCCCTTGAGCATTGTTTCTGCCTCTGGCCCCTCTCTCACTTCTCCACTTCCCTTTTAAAACATGGAGCCCAGCACTGCAGCCGTTATCCAGAGGAGGCCTGACCAGTGCCGAGCAGAGAAGCACCATCCCCTCCTGTGTCTTGCACTTAATACGCGTGACACAGCCCAAATCACAGTGCTCTTTTGTGCAGCTGCACCATGCTGCAGGCTCATATCGAGTCTGATCTATCGAGTCCCCCCCGCCAATCCTCCTTGGCACTGCCGTCCAGCCAGGAGTCACCCAGTTTGTCATTGTGCTTGTGATGATTCCTCCCGAGGGGCAGCCCCTTGCATCGTTAGTGTTGACCTTAAGTGGGGAGGGAGTGCAGGCCTAATGGAGGGCCCTGACCCAGTTGGGGAGTGGGGTTGCAGCCCAGGGCAGCGTGATGGGCTGGGGACAGCTGGGGACCAGGGTAGAGGTGCCCCCTGCAGTGGGCAGGGAGCTGCGCTGATCCATCTGTCCTGCCCTTACAGGGGTTCGTGCCGCTTCACAGCGAGAAAGGCGAGAGCTGGGAACCTGCTGATGCAGTTGCGGTGCCGCTTCTGCCTCCTAACGCTGGTGAGAGCTCAGATCCTGCCTCGACCCCCAGGCCAGCAGAGCCAGAGATTGCTAGAGCACAAGGCCCTGACTGGCAGGGTCCTCCTGGCCTTCATCCCCTCCAGCAGCAGGAACTAGCTCCTGACCTGTGGGCTCCCCTGGGCAGTCCATCCCCGGGTACTGCCAGGGCCTGGGGGGTGCACGTGCCCATCCCTCCACCCACAATTGCTGGAGGTTCCTTGAGCAGCGCTACATGGCTCCCTCCCCTCCCTGTTCCCTGGGGGCTTGCACTGCGCTGACAGCCTGGCCTGGTGTCCCGTCCCCTGTCGTGTCCTCCGTCCGTGTCCTTCTCTCTCCCCCCCCTGCTTCTCACCCGCAGGCTTCAGGGTCCTGGCCGTGACCCCCCACGACATTCTCTACCCGGGGCGGGTTCGGAGGAAGCTCCAGGCAGGCAGGACTGAAGCCGCCCTTGACTTCACCAGGCAGGTGAGTCCTTGCAGGCTGGCTGCTGTACCCAGCACCCCAGGTAGCCCACCACATGGCCCATTCCCTGGCAGGGGGGTCTTTGGGAAAGCAGCGAGTCTCAGCGCTCCTGTGGGCCCAGCCCAAAAGCCCCAAAAGGCAGAGGGCCACTGAGCCCCAAAAGGCAGAGGGCCACTGAGCTCACTGCCCTCCTTGGGGAAAGGCGCTGGGGTGGAAGGGGAGCAGGGCTGCCCTGGGCAGGAGAGGGTGTCAGAGGGTCCAAGCAGACCCACGCACCCACATGGGGATCCAGGATGGCCATGCTCTGCCCACCAGGCTCTGCGCAGTGTCTCCCTGCAACGAGCTTTGGGAGGAGGGGGCAGGGGGCTTCAGCTGGGGCTGAGGCCACGAAGACACTACATGTGCCCAGCTGCCTGCTGGGGATGCCCCAGACTCCTGCATGCTAGCCAGACCCTGCTTGTCCCCCCTGACCCTGTGCCCCTCCCCGCAGCTGGCGCACTTCTTCCTGGACCACCCTGAGGACGCGTTCGGGGCCATGGGCCAGCTACTGCAGGAGAATTTCCATCTGGGGGAGGCACGGCTGCGGGTGAGTGATGGTCCCTGCCCATCCCCAGGGACAGCTGCACGCCTGGCTTGGGCCAGGGGGTAGGGGCAGCCCACATCTTGCTGCCCCTGCTTCCCTGAGCCCCTGGCTCCAAGACCCCTGGCAGCCTGCTCTCCCCAGCTGTGACTAACCAGAACCCAGCCGGGGCCTTGCTGTGCGGGTGCTGTGCATTCCCCCACCTCATAGATTCATAGACACGAGGGCTGGAAGGGACCTCGGAAGATCATCGAGTCCAGCCCCCTGCCCCAGGGGCAGGAAGTCAGCAGGGGTCATAGGATCCCAGCAAGATAAATGTCCAAATTTCTCTTGAAGGCGTTCAAAGTAGGTGCTCGAACCACCCCCGGTGACAGTCTATTCCAGACCTTGGGGGCTCGGACAGTAAAGAAATTCTTCCTTATGTCCAGCCTAAAACAGTCATGAAGGAGTTTGTGACTGTTTGACCTTGTCATCCCTTAGGGGTGCTCTGGTGAACAGACGTTCTTCCAGATCCTGGTGAGCACCCCTCATAAACCTATAGGCAGCCACCAGATCACTCCTGAGCCTGTGCTTTTCCAGGCTGAAGAGTCCCATGGCTCTCAGCCTCTCACTATAAGGTCTGTTTTCCTAACCTCTGATCATGTGCTGGACTCTCTCAAGCTTTTCCACATCCTTTTTGAATTGTGGAGCCCAAAACTGGACGCAGTACTCCAGCTGCGGCCTCACCAAGGCTGAGTACAAGGGGAGAATGATTTCCTGGGATTGGCTCGAAAAGCATCTATGGATGCAAGCCAGTGTTTTGGGCGCTTTACTACGTGGAGCATCACATTGAAGGCTCATATTCATCCTGTGGTCAATCATGACCCCCAAGTCCCTTTTGCCTGTAGTGCTAACCAGCGTAGCACTGCTGAGCCTGTAAGGATGCTGCAGGTTTTTCTTCCCAAGGTGGAGAACCTTGCACTTTTCAGTGTTAAACACCATCAGGTTCTCGTCTGCCCATTTCATGAGCCTGTCAAGGTCAGCCTGGATCACCCTCCTGTCCTCAGGTGTGGATGCTTTACCCCAAAGTTTGGTGTCATCAGCTAACTAGGCCAGTCCACTTGCGATACCAATGTCCACATCATTAATGATGTTGAATAGTGTTGGCCCAAGGACAGAGCCTTGAGGGACCCCACTGGTCACAGTGCACCACGATGATTAACTTCCGTCAGCTGCCACCCTCTAGGTCCAACCTCACCCCTGTCCTGTCCCATTTCTGCCCCCATCCAGAACAAGGGGACAGATGGACATGGACCAGGGGTGCTGAGGCTGCTCCGTCTGCTGGGCAGTGCATGGTGGCCTGGCACTGTCCTGCATTTCACTGGTATTGTGGGGAGTGGGGCTGGAGGGGGAGAATCATGGGGAACCCCCCTTGCCCTCCCCTCCTTCAGCCTCCTGGCATGAGAACATGCTGCCTGCACACACACGTGCCCCTCCTGGTCAGGTATTGTGGCTCTGTCCTGACCCCGGCCCATCCGTCCCCTTTCCCCTCAGGGCAAGGCATGTGAGAACGTGGTCCCGCTGTCGGCCCTGCTGCGGGAGCTCAGCCACATGGACGCCAGGCGGTGAGTGTGTGGCATCCCCCCAGATCAATCCCCCAAGCCCATGTGGCTCCGTGCATTGGGCCTGCCCCCCACCTGCCCATGGTGGTCCCTGACCTGTCCCCTCCTGTAGCGGGTGCCGCCAGCTGTGGGTCAGCTCCCGGCTGCGCGGCTTCTGCCACCTGAGCCAGGCTTGGCTGTGGGAGCTGCCGCTAGGGATGCTGGGCGAGCGGCTGCATGAGGAGCTGGCGCTGCAGTGGGACCAGCTGCTCTTCGACGATGCCCCGACTGGGGGTGCGCTGGCCTGGCTGCCCACTGGGGGCATAGGCGCGTCCCGCGGCTGCTTGCTGCACCCAGCTGGCCCTGCCATGGATCAGCTCTGTATCCTTTTGCAGCTGGGGGGGTCTGCTTGGCTTGTGGGGGAGATGCTGGGGGGCCAGGGCTGGACGCTGCTGTGTCGCTGTTACCCCCTGGGAGGGATCCAGCTGAGCCCCTGTGGTGGGAGGTGTGTGGGGCGGGCAGGTGTGATAGCTAGACCGCCAGGCGGTTGTAGTCCTGGTCCCATCAGACTGTGCCGTGGCACTTAACCAGTGCATCGCAGGCTTCCAGGACGTGGTGCTGGCGCCAGGGGAGGACGGCGCCCTGCGTCCCTGCGCCCAGGGCAGCCCTGCCCAGTTTAAGCTCAGCGGCCGGGTGCGCCAGGTGTCTGCCACGCAGGTGGATGGGGCAGGTGAGCAGAGCCAGGGATTTCGCCTCTCCCTGCCCTCAGGGCAGCAGCCAGCCCTGCTTCCTTGGGCAGGGTAGGGCCCCACACCCCAGTTAGGGGAGCAGGGAGCCCCAGGCTGACAGCCTCCTGGAGCAGGGGCTGAGGGGCAGGGACCCCCATGAGGGCTGAGCCCGAGTCACTGCTCCGTGGTACTGTCTTCCCGTGGGCCAACCTGGTTGTGATCCCTTTCCCCCTCCATGAGCTAAACCGGCGTGCCTCCTGTGCCCGCAGCCTTTGTGGGTGTCCGCTCGGACTACCACTGTGGGGCCTGGAGGCTGCAGCCTGGCGCCGTGCCCACTCCGCTGCAGGTCGTCCGCACCACCTCGCCAGCCTCCTGCCTCACTGCCAGGTAAGTGTTGCCCATGCTGGGGGGAACCATGAGACCAGTGGCAGCTGCAAGCCCTGGGGCAACAGGGCCTGTAGCTGGGGCAGGTCTGTCTGTCCCTCTGTGCCTCCGCTGCAGGCAGGCTCCAGGTCTGCTCTGCTTCGGCTCCAGGCCCCGCTGACACTGCCCTTCCCACAGCCCCCACCTGCCCGGGGAGCTGTCCCTGTGCACCCACAGCGGGGCTGTCTACCTGTGGAGCGTCGAGACCGGGTGAGCATGGCTGCAGGCACTGGCAAAGGCTGCCTGGGGCCTCCCTGCCCCAGCCAGGTTTGGGGATGAGCGGGGCGGGCAGCACAGGCTGCTGGGGTCCCTGGGCTGCCGGGAGGGGGAGGGGGAGGGGGAGGTGGCCGTGGTGTGGCAGGAGGAGGAGGTAGGGGCAGTTCTGAGCCTTCAGAAGGTGCTGGGAGCTGCAGGGCCCCAGAGCTGGGTGGGGTGCGCAGCAGCATCTTCCCCCATTCCCGCACTGGGGTCAGGCCATGGCCACAGCAGCATCTAGCCCGTCCCAGGGCCTGTGGCCAGGCAGTGACAGCCATGACCTGAGCCAGGCCCATACACAGCAACGGCCATATCCCAGGTCCTGCTGCCCCCCGGGATCCTCGGCTTGGGTGCTGACACCCATCTCTGGGCGTCCTTGGCCTCCCCAGGCTGCAGCGCCTCTGCCAGGAGCCGGAGACCATGTTCTTCCGTGACGCATCGCCGTGGCGCTGGAGCGAGTTCACAGCCCACCCGCGGGTGCTGAGCTACGCTGACCGCACTGGCGTGCAGTGCCTCGACGTGCGGGTGAGTTGGGGCCAGGGGCTGTGCCCTGGCATCTGGGCTCACATGCCACAGGCAAGACCCTATGCCCGCCAGGAGGGTACAGGGTGTGGGAGTGCCTGAGGTGGGGGAGCCGGGCCCCGGGGCTGCCCCGGGCAGGCTGGGCCCTTCCCTCGGGCCTCTCAGCTCCCCCAGTGGGTGTCCGGGGCCCTTCCAGTGGGGTAGGGGGCATCTCCCTCCCCCAGCCCGGCTGACAGGTCCTGGTCTCTGGCTGCAGGCCCCCACTCAGGCCCGGCGAGATCTCTTCAAGGTGGGCGCAGAAGCCGGGTGTCAGCGTGGAGAACGCGTGGTGCTGCCCCTGTACCTGGGCCAGGCCCACCCTGCCCAGCACCTCATCGCCACACAGGTGAGAGGTGGGGGGTGTCCAGCAGGGAGGGCTTCAGGCTAGGGTGGGTACAGGGCAGCAGCTTGTGTCTGTGGTGAGGGGCTGTGACCCCTGGAGCTCAGGGGGCCACTGGCTGCTTGGGGCCTGCAGCCTCATGCCTGGCTGCAGGGCTGGCCGGGGCCTCTGTTGCAGATGTGTGTGCCGTGGCCCAGGTGCTCGGGGGCCTGGCTGCGGGGCTGGCACAGCAGGGAGACTGCAGTGCCCTGAGGCCTGTGCCACGGCTGCAGGTGGGTGGGCCGGGCCCGGCGCACAGCCGGGCCCCGAGGGGTGGGGCCCTGGGCAACACTGTCTCGGCCTGCTCTGTCATCCCCCCAGTTCTCGGTGTACGTGGTGGACGAGCGCTTCCCCCTGGTGCCGGCGCTGCGCTGGGAGCACATGATGACGGTCCCCCCCATCTTTGCACACGTGATGCCGGGCAGTCCCCGGGGCAGGAGCCACAAGGTGCTGCTGGGCGCCCAGCGCACCCAGGAGCTGCTGCTGCTGCAGTGCACAGGTCGGGGGCACGAGGGGCATTGGGGCTGGGCTGGGACACGTGGGGGTAGCTGCTCTGCAGCAAATGGCTAGAGCCACTCTGAGGCTGCTCCTAGCACCTGGGGTAGGGGGAGGTCACAGTGCATGGGGGCCTTCTCCCCTTGGTCCCATCTCCTTGCCCAGGACTGGCCTGCTCAGCATCCCCGTGGCCAGGTGGGGCTTGGGAATGCAGCCCCGTTGCTTCATGGCGCTCCTCTCTCTGCAGGCAGCAGCACATCAGCCTGTCAGCTTGTGGGGGCCCCACGGAGGCTGCACACCATTGCTGATGGCTTGCAGTACCTGCCCACCACGACACCCCACCAGCTGGACTGGCTGCACCAGAGGCTGGGCATGCCCGCTGCAGGTAGGTGCCAGGCCAGGCTTCCTGTGGCTCCTCTGCACAATGGTGCCCAGGACGGCGCCAGGGGGCGGTGGGGAAGCTGGCCGCCTGTGTGCAGGGAGGCACCACTGGCAGACAGGATGGGACAGGCCCCTTGCTGGGCTCTGCCACGGACCCACGTGGCAGTGGTGCGGGGCGCTGGGCCGGTGCCCAGGGAAATATCCCCGGGTCCTGCCACTTGCCCCTGCCTGCCTGGCTCACAACCAACTCTCTCCAGGGGTGACCGCCACCCTGGGGCGCTGCGGGCCGTTGGAGTCCATGCTGGTTTTCCAGCTGTCGGAGGCCGGGGACCTCTTCTACCAGACGCTGCTGCACTCGCAGCCAGCAGACAGCTCGCCGGAGAGGGGCCATGCAGATGAGCCCTCCACATCCCCATCCCTGCAGACCCCTGCCCAGGCAGTGCAACACTTGCCAGGAGCAGGCACTTCCTGCGGTTCGGGCACAGAGGGCGAGGAGGAGGAGAGGATGGAGACCTTCCACCTGTCTGGCTTGGAGGTGCTTGTGAACGAGGACTCGGAGGATGAGGGCAGTGGCAGTGCCGGGCAGCCCGCAGATCCCGGGGCCCAGGGGCAAGGCCGAGCCAGCCCCAACCAGACCCCTGCCCCCAGCCCTGCCATTGCTGCCCAGTACCGCCGCTGGCTGGCAACACTGTCCCATGCCTGGAAGCACCTGGCGGAGCCGGCCAAGCCACGGGTGCCCCTCACCCTGAGCCAGAGGCGGCTCTTCACCCGCAGGGAGCTGGGCCAGCCGCCCGGGGACAGGGTGCTGCACCAGCAGGCTCGCCGGCAGCTGCGCCGCGCCATGCGGGAGCGTGGTCTGGTTGTGGGCTGTGCCCTGGGCCCGGAGCCCCCACCGCCGCCTGTGCCCTGCCCCCTGGAGCCACAGGCCTGGCCCGATGACCTGAGCGAGCGGCTCACGGCCTCCTGGGTGGGGGGCTGGAGCAACTGGTGGGAGGAGCAGCAGGGCAGGAGCCAGGCACGGCAGGCACGGGAGCGGGCGCTGCGGGAGCAGAGACGGCGCCGGAAGCGAGCGCGGGGCCTCTGCAGCCTGTCGGGCAGTTTCAGCTCCTCCCTCACTTGCCAGTCTGACCTGTCCGACTTCAGTGATGTCTCAGCCTGGTCTGTGGGCAGCCGGGCCCCCACGCCTGTCCCAGCCAGCCCCCAGCATAGCCTTGCGCCCTCCCTGTCAGGGCAGGATGCTCCTGCAGAGCCCTGGCCAGGCTCCCCGCTGGCCTGCAGCACCCAGCTCTCCCAGGAGCCTGGGGGCAGCCAGGACCCAGGGGCCCCCTCCCAGCTGCTGTCATCCCAGATGCTGCGCTTGCGTGGGGTCCCCAGGGAGCGCAGGAAGACCCTCCGCGACTACCTCTCCATCTTCACTGAGTCCCCCGTGGAGACGCCACCTGAGGTGCCCAGCAGCCAGGCTTCCAGGCTGGGGGGAGATCACCGGGTCCCCCTCTCCCAGAGCCAGGCCTCCAGCCTGGGGGTGGAGCAGCACGTCCCCCTCTCCCAGAGCCAGGCCTCCACGGGTTCCCAGGCCAAGCGCAAGCGTGCCCGCATGGGCTTCTGAGCAGGCCTGGCGGGGGGAGGCGGGCGGGTGGGTTCCTGGGGTAGCTGCTCCTGTGCTGCAGTCAATAAACTGGGAGAGTTGGCTCCTGTGTGGTCTCTTTGTGGGTCAGGGGGCCTTTCCTTGCAATATCCAGGTTCCAACCATTGGATATCGTCATGCTCTAGTTAGCCAAATGAGCAATCCCCTTGCTACTTCCAGCATGCCTGCCCCATTATAGGGCATGTCCATGTCTACACGTGGCAGCCGCATGCTCAGCTGGGGCTGGACCTCCACCCAAGCTGGATTGGCTTGCCCGGTGTCCCCTGCACCTGCCCCAGGAAGGACACTGCCTACCTGGGCTGTGTAGTGGGGCTGCTGGCCCTACTCTGCATGTGGTGCAGCTGGGCCTGGGCTGTGCAAGGGGATGGGGAATGTGTTGGGGCACAGGGCTGGTCAGGGTAGAGACCCCAAGGCTGCACCTTGTAGCACCTGGGAGGCAGCACAGGCTCCCGTGCCCTGGGGCTGGGGTTAAGGTGGGCACCAATGTGCGCACAGGCACCTGGTGTGCACACGTGCTGCATGGCCTGTCTCCTGGTCCTGAGGACCATGCTGGGCTCACACCTGGACGCCACCATCCACCCCCAGTGCATTATTTGCTGCCGTGCCATGAACTGCACCTTGGGCTCTGCAGACTGGGACTGTGCAGCCCTGGACCATGCAGGACCAGGCTGCAGCTGTGTCGTCAGGACCCCGTGGGAGCTGGGACACAGGTAAGGTGCAGCCCCAGTGCCTGTCAGGGTGACCCTGGTCCCTGCCCTTTACACACAATTCAGATACCACCAATTTACCCTGGTTTGTGGGTGACCGGGTGAGTCCTGATCTCTTTTTACAGTGCCTCCGAGTACATTACATGCAACTCTGGCAAAACCGTGCCCGGTGCGTGTGGCCCCGTGGATCTGGTGCTGGCACCTTCAGACTGCCGTTGTGCTCTGGGCTGGTCTGAAGGCCTTGAGACTCTTTCAGGCCGTGGTTCTGCTCGGTCCTGTCTAGCGTGGCTGGACGTGTTCGTTGCTGGCCCAGGCGCTGTGGTCACTCGGGAAGGTCTGGGGCCTCTTGCTCCAGCCCGCACTGGAGCTCGGCCCAGGCTGTTGGCAACAGGCATAGACTGGGCTTCTGCGCTGCGTGCTGGGTGCGTGTCTGCAGGCTCGGGCAGGTGCTGTATCACGCCCCCCGCCAGGATGGTGTGTGGGGGGGGGGGGGGGTGCGGAAAGAAGAAGCACTCCTTGCAGGGGCAATCGTGCATCTGGGAGCTGCTGGCCAGGCCAAGGGTTCCCAGGGGTGGGACAGGGCCTGACCTGGCCAGGCTGGGGTTCCTGGGGCCCTGCCTGGGCCCGGGGCATGTTGCAAAGCCCTGTGGCACGTGGTGCCTGTGGCCAGGCGGGGCTAGGCCTGGCTGCACCTTGGCTGCCCGTGGGGGCTGTTGTGGCCTGGGCAGGCGCGTATGCGAGTTGCAGCAGGCGCTGCCCTGGGCCTGCGAGGCACAGATGGCCCCGTGCAGCAGGGCCAAGGCAGGGTGGGCCCAGGGCGGCGTGGCACTGAACAGGGTCCATGGCAGGGCGAGTGGGAAAAGGCCTACGACAGAGTCACACTGGTTTCTCTTCGGGACACGGAGGCGAAAGGGCATCCTGTGATCTTCACTGGCTGGATAAAGGTGCTGTACACGGATGTGAGCAGCGAGGTGCTGGTCAGCAGGCTCTTGAGCGCACGCATTGCAGTAGAGTTGGGGGTCTGCCAGGGCTGCCCGCTCTCCCCGCTCCGGTGCATCTGTGCCGTTGAACTGCTGGCCCAACGCATTAGACAGGACCCCGGGATGCCCGGAGTCCAGATCCCCAGAGGAAGCAGGGAAGAGACCAAGGTCCCGGCCTACATGGGTGACCTGAACATCCTGTGCCAAAATAAGTGTTCAGTCCAAAGAGCCCTGTGGCGCACACAGGTCTATGAAGCGGCAGCAGGGGCCTGGCCGTAGGTGAGGTCGGGGACCTGGAGTCCCTGGGGGTCTCGGGCCCCTGTGAGGGGATCAAGATCCTCGGGGTGGAGTTTGACCCCAAGCTGAGCGGAAGGAAGGCCTGGGAGAAGGAGGCCAAGGTGAAGCAGAGGTTAAGTCTGTGGCACATGCACCAGCTCTCCATGGGGGGGGGCACGTGGCACTCATGAAGGCAGTGTTGCTACGGGTGTACTGGTCTTCCCCCCTCCACGGCGTATCGCCCACAGAGTCCAGAGAGCTGTGTGCGCGCGTATTCTGGGGATCCAGGATGGAGAAGGTGGCAAGGAAGAGCCTGTACAGGAATAAGCAGACTGGGGGCAGGGGGCTGCCAGACATCCACCTGTTCCTGCAGGTACGGTACACGAGCCAGATCCGCAAGCTGGCAACTGGGCCATCACCCAAAACAGCCTGTCTCATCAAGTGTTTTGCAGGTCACCTCCTGAGACACCAACCAACCAACCGGAACTTACGCTGGATGCTGTGTATATATGCACACAGCAGGAAAAAGATATATATATTAAAAGGCAGGGTGAGGAGATGCTAAGCACCTCAGTGCTGCCTGCAGGGCCTTCTCCCATGCACCACCCCTGTCTTGCACGGGGGCCTGGCCATGGGCCATGGGCATACTCCGTGTAGGCCGGGGCAGGGGCAGGCAGCGTCCTCCCTTGGCCCCCACCTCCCTGCACCAGCCCAAGGGCGGGGCCCTGCCCCTGCACCCCGCCCCGTGCACCGAGCTCCTCCTTGGGCTCCAGGTGACGCCCGGACACGGGGCGGCGCTGCCTTCCCAGTGCCGCTGCCCAGGCACAGCCAGTGCGAAGCCGGGGCAGAGCCAGCCGGAGCAGGAGCCGGAGCCGGAGCAGGTGCAGTCCAGGAGGCCAGAGACAGGTGGGCAGCTGGGGCCCTGAAGCCTCTGCCCGGCACTGGCCGAGCCCTGTGCCGTGTGCCCAGAGCACAGCCACAGGCCGGTTTGGTCCCCGCTGTGCCCGTGGTTCCTGATTGGGAGCAGGGGTCGTGCCCATGCGGCCTGGCAGGGGGCCGAGCCAGGGGGGGCACG